CTCTAAAACTTTGTTAAAAATCTAATAATGATTTATTTAATAAAAAAAAAGGTTTTCTTGTACGAATATCATATTTCTGTTTTAAATTTATATATAGAACTGCATTATATTATACTAAGATAATTCATCAGTTCACTGGAGGATTATTAATTAAAGATATTTATTTTATAAATAATATCTTTAAATTTTAGCATTTTATATTTAATTTTGATAAAGATATTATATTTTTAATAAAACTTATTTTTTAATTTTAATATTAAAATTTTAAAAAGTTTCTTAAAAGTTTATATGTTTCCAAAGAAAATTTTTTTAATTATTACTAAATAAAGTTAAGATTTTGTTTAATAAATTATAAAAATAATATTAGCTTTAATTAAATAACACTTTTTCTTTATATATTAAAGAAGATTTAAATTGTAATTTTTTAGATTTTTAGATTTTTTGTAATTGTTTTGTTTTTCAGACTAATCCAAGATGATCAAAATCTTGTGATTTGATTGGTTAATTATCAAAAATATTATATAAGCTAATAGATAAATAGATATAGTAAAGTTTAATACCAGAATTTATATATTATTATTATATATTCTATTATTTATATTCTGCTATATATATTTTTTTAACTACTGCTATTACAAGATTTTATAACCAGAAGTTTACAAATTTGGTTTAAAAATTTCTGAAAAATGATCTATTATAAAAAAGAAAAGCACTACATATAATAGTAGCATCGCAGAAAATTTAATTACAAAAAAATTATATAAATAAATTTTATAAACAACAAAGTAATACCAACAACTCTAAAATAGTTTTGTAATCTTGGTTTAGAAGAATAATACAACTATAGTATAAACTGAAGTAGCAAAAAAAAAAGGATTAGAGGAGATAATTGATGAGGGGGATATACTGTATGACAAAAGGTAGGATAAGATTGTATGATCATGAAATAATTATTCGCTGTTTCTGTTAATACAAATCTGAAGAAGTAATGGGGATGTTTGACTGAGCCAGGGGACTATTCGTCAACTGGAAGATCGACTATTCGTCTATCCTTCTCTCTGACCTCCTGTGACACACCGGAGAACTATTCGTTGTCTTGTGTTGAACTATTCGTTCGTCATGGCATTGTGTACTTTTTAGAGAATAGATTTATGTATTATCGTGGAGAAAGCTTAATAATTATATTCTTTTGCTTATATAAAGGAGCTGGAGGTCTTCAAAGCTACAATGGAATACTTTCGGCAAGCTGCAAATCGTTATCAAACAAAACAACTAGAGCTTATTGAAAACGAAAAAGCTATTGAGTTGGCTAAAATGGAATATATCAAGGTATTTATTCATTTTTCCTTACTTCTTTTAACCATATCCATATATTAACGTTAAAGGTTACCCAAACTCGAAACCACGTAAACAATGAAGGTCCATCGTTTAATAACCGAAAATCTGGCAGATGTAATCGCATCCGAATCAATACTTATCGAATCGGCAAATATTCGGTTGGTTAATTTTTGCCAGTTTTTCCAGAATTTATGAAAACAGCTGTAATTTTTCACAAGGTGTCCCAGGAATAATGATAACAGCTGTAATAGTTGGGTGGGGTTTCAAACATTTTTTAAAAAAAGCTGGCCGGGTCATTTGTCAAATTTTATGTTACGAGAAACAAAAAATTAATTATGTTTCCATAGCTTTTGTTACTGTATTTAAGTATTTTGTATACTGAAAGTGCTATCTTTATATTTATGCTAAGTTTAGTTTGACAATGCATTTAAACTTAAACATTTCGATTTGAGGTTAATAATTAAGATACAAAAGTAGTGGTATAAAAAACAATGTTTCATAATAAAAATTGCCTTCTTTTTTAGTGTTGGAATGCAGCTAGTTTATAATGAAAAATTCTGCTAAGTACTGCATACAGTACTCAGAGTAGTATCCGCCGTGAACCTTTTTAAAAAGATTTATTGTATAGAAACATAGCAAATTACTCTAAGGAGCTT